TCCCGGGGCCGAAGGACCCCGAAGCTGCGCAGCACGCCCTCGCGGACAGCGTCGGCGATCTCCACTGCCATATAGTCGCCCAGAGCGACATGCAGGCACATGGACGCATCGAGCCCTTCCTGCACGGCTCGGCATGCCTGGAACGACTTTAATCGGCTCGGGGGGTGGGGCTCAAACTCGCAGCGCGGTCCGCCCTGGAAGGGCAAGTCGCCCCAGATGGCAATAGAACTCACGCAGGTCGTCACACGACACAGCCGGTCACTCGCCTGGAGCAAGGCTCATGCGACACAGCATGAAGCCCTGACCAAGACGCTGGGCGCTGGAGCAAATGCTAAGACAGCGGCTGTTCACCGCCGTGAGATTGAAGAACAGACGTTCTTCGTCGCTGTCTTCGCTGTCCTCGGGCGCCCTGAACGCTCCGCGCGCCTCGCCGCAGCGAAAGTCCGAGGAGGGAGTCGGATACAAGGCGCCGCGGGAGCCCCACTTGCGAAGCAGCTCCCAAAGCTCCGCACGGTCCGCATGCTGCCGCGCGCCCCGAAGCACCTGGGGCCACTCTGCCGACGGCCGGCGCACGGCCTCGGGGTCGTGAAAAACTTCGCGGGCCCGATCGTCGGAGAGGTAGAGAGTGGGATCATACGCCGGCGAGTGATCGCACTCGATGCGGGACGTCCTGCCACATAGGCGGAAGGGCTCGGCTTGGGCGAAGCCCCAAGCCGCCGCAGAGGCCAGCGAGCCAGCCACTCGGGCGTCGGTCGGAGTGCTGCACGGGAGCGGGCACGACTGCGAAAGAAGAGGAGGAGGAGGCCTCCCAAGCTGCAACATGGGCGGGCAAGCCACGGAGAGAGACCTCAGCAGTCGAACTTAGCAAACGCTCGACCTAGGTCGCTCTCGCCACCACGGGCATGGCGAACTGCGATCATGTAAAGTAGCTCGATGAGACTCCGCACGCTCTCCTGGCAGGGCGAGGGCGTCGCCCACGCGCGAGCCTCGATGAGAGCGACACTCGGCCTGCCCAAGGTAGGCCGGTTGAGTGCGCTAGTGCGCGGGCGGCGCGCTTCAGCCCCCAACGTTCCCGAGCGCGGCCGAGCACAAGCGCCGCGAGCGGCTCGAGGGCAGGCGCCAGAGGGCACGGCTCGGGACCGCGCGAAATCGACTCCACGGGAGGGCAGCCGCCCCGCTCCGACGTGCCGAGGGAACTGCGGGTGGAGGAAGACAAGGAACACAACGAGCACCTGTCCCAACTTGGGCCAGCGAAGCGGCCCTGCGCGCGACATCAGTGTTCGCGCCTCGGGACAAACACAGTAAGGCAGAGAGGTCCGCGGCAAAGGGCGCGACCCTCACGGCAGCAAAAGAGGCGGCACTTGCGCCAGGCTGGGCGCCAAGACCAGGGCAAGGAGAGGGCCCCGACGGGAGCTGGAGAGAGAGAGCCGCCACCGCAGAACGAACTTCCCCCTGCGGAGCCGCCACGGCATCGCTGGAGAAATGCACTCCTGCGGTCGCGACCCGGCTCGGCCCATGGGCACCCGGCAGCCACGGCGCCGCCGATGACGCCGACACGCCGCGACTCCGACCCTCGGCAGCCGCGCACAGAGTTATGAGCAGGGACGGGCCGTCCCGGCGTTCCAACAGGCCTACCACGAAATGCCCTCAGAACCCAAGAATGTTCTGAGGACAAAAACCATGTTCTCAGAACAGAAACCCGATGTACTGAAACAAGAGGTGCCCCGGCCAGAAATGTTCTGAGAACATCTCGCAGAAACCACAAGAGGTTCTTCGAACCTTGCCTGGTGGGCCTATGGGCACGCCAGGACGCTGGACCCCCACGGGCCCCGCGGGCCTGCTTGCGACGTGCTCCGGGCGCGAACCGCCCCCCCTCTGGGGGGGCCTTCGGAGCCCGCCTGGGCGGCGCCCTCGGCGCCTCGGGCCGGCCCGCCACGCGCTCGGCCCCCGGGCGGGTTCCGAAGGAGGCCGTCTCCTTCGCGCACTCGCCCCGCGCCGACACCCAGCGGGGATCCACGAAGGGCAAGAGGGGCAGCCGGGCACCCCATCCGCGCGGAGGCCGGCGACCAGCGACGGCGGGGCCTCCATCCCCGCGAGAGACCAGGCGGCTTCCAGATAGCCACGGCCCCCCGCCGGCTGGTCGACGAACATGCAGTGGCACGCCACGAGGGCCACCACCCTGTCCGCGCCGCCGCTCTCGGACGCTCGCCACAGCTCCGCGCTCGGCCACCCCCTACTCGCCGGCACCTCGCGCGTCGCTGGGCGGGCTCCCAGCGGGCTCTGGTCGCAAAAATGCTGGAACATGGAATGGGGGCCAGGGCAGTGGCCTCTATCCCAGGCACGGGCAAGGTTCGCCTGATCGGCGCGGGAACTTCGGGCCCGCGCTGGACAGGCCACCTGCCGCCACGTCGCCGACGCGCGACCTCGCGCATCGCAGTCGATGCAGCATTCCCCTCGGCCGACGGCGCGGCCGATGCCAGAGGGGGGTCGCCGAGCATGACCAGTAGCGGGTGGAACGCCACGCGAGGGTGGAGCGACCGCTGGAGCGAATTTCGCAGACACAGCGAAGCCAGATCCAAAATGGCCCCTGGGCTGTCAGTGGAACAATGCCCTTCGCCCCCGACGCCCCCCCCCCGCCGAAGCCGAAGGCCCCGATGGGCCGAGCCAAACCAGGCAAACCAGGAGGCGTTGGAGTGGCGGGGGCGCGAGAGGCGCGGAAGCCGAGCGCGCCCAGGTCTGCCCATGCCCCACGCCGACCCTCGGGCGGACGTCATCGTCGGCGCGCGGCCCTGCACCCGCTGAAGGGCAGCGGGGGACTGGGCGAGCAGGGCTAGGAGCTCGGCACGAGGGACCCCCACGCGCGCCGCCTCGTCGGCGAAGAGCTGCGCCACTGCGGCGTGGGACCCGCGCAGGTCCGCGGGGGCGCGCAGGGGGCCACCGTCTGAGCCGTCCGGGCGGCCATCAGACGACGGATCTCCATCTGGACCTCGGCACGGGTCATCAGCGCCTCCTCGTCGAAGACAACTGCAGGGGCACCCGCGGCCCTCGGGCGGGTCGCGACGCTCGCCGTCTTCGGGAGGCTGGCCAGCCCCGCCCTCAGGGGCGGGGGGAGCATCGCGGCAAGAGGAGGACCCCACAGAGGAAGAGGCGCGTCGCCGTCGGCGTCTGCGTCCTCCTTCGTTGATTCCGCCACTGTCTCGTCCGGTGAGTGGTCGGGGGTCGTTCGCTCCGCACATGGGAGCGGCTCCCCCCCCCTTCGTCGAGGGCCCCCCCGTGGATCGCGACGCACCCGCGCGCGGGGCACGGATCCCCGAGGGGCGCGGCTAGTAGAAGCGGCCGCGAAAGGCCCCACCCCGCGGGTCAGCGGGCACAGAGGTTCCAGCCCCATCTCCACGACCTCTAGGTCGACCACCAGCACAGATGCAGTAGTGCTCATCGTGCGGGGTGCTGCGCCGACCCGGGGCAAATCGACCCCCCGGTAAGGGCCGATCAACCCTTGGAAGCCATCGGCCTCCTCATGGCCGAGGTCGTCGACCGAGCAGCACGCCGAGGGCAGTGCCAGCAACATTCCACCAGGCTGGGAGGCTGAGGGGTCACGGCGCAGCCTACCTCGCTGCCGTCCAAGCGCCAGAGCAGAGGTCGGGCCAGACTGACCCTTCGGGGACGCGACCCGCCCCTCCCACAGAGGCGGAGGCGGCCACCGTGCCCGACGGCACGCGCAGAAGGCCACGCGGGCCTGATGAGGGGACTCGCCCCGGTGCGCGGCTGGGGGCGAGCGCCGAGCCAGGGCTCGAGCGCGATCCTCGGCCTGCGCCCACGGAGCGCCTGCCAGGGCGAGCCGCGCGCCGCGACCGTGCCCCGCAGGGGCACGGGTCGCTTCGCGGGCGCGGGCGAAGGGCAGCCGCCCCCGCCCGCGGGCCGCTGGGGCACCGATGCAGCAGCCGCCGCAGAGGCCGCAGCAGGCTGCTGCGCCAGGGAGCGCCACCAGCGAGGAGGGCAGCAGAGGTGCAACCCCGCCGGGCACGTCCACCGCCAGCCCTGGGCAGACGGCGGGACAGACCCGGCCGCGGCTGGCGGGGGGGCGATGCCCCCCCGCCGCTGGGGTCGGCGTGGGCGGCCGAAAGGAGGCCACGCAGCGGGGACGCCGAGGCCCGCGAGTGAGGAGAGGGGCTGGCCAAGGAGCCGCTCGCAGAGCCCGGCCCGAATGACCCGAAAGAGAACCTCGCAAACTCCATCGATGGGCGTACACACCGCTGCTGGGTTCAGGATGGGCCTGGCCAGAGAGCAGCGGATACGTACAGATGCCATCGCCCGATGGACAAGCGCCTGCACAAGGCGCCCGCCGCGGGGCGGCGGGGAAGATCAACTGGGCCGAGAAGCTGCAGAGACAGCCCATGGCGCAAGAGGCGACGAGAATAAGAGAAGCCAGGATGACAAAGATGAGGAGACGGAGGAGGAGGAGGAGGAGGAGGAAAAGGAGCAGGAAGCACGAGAAGAAGAACTACCATAGTCGCAGCGAGAACCATGGAACGAAAGCAACGACAACTGCTCGCCCCGAACCGTCAAGCACGTGCGAGACTCGACATGGATTCGGGCGACCCTATGAAGAGTGTAAATGTAGAGAGAGAGAGAGAAAGAGAAAGAGAAAGAGAAAGAGAGAAAGATGGTGACAAAAAAAGAAGAGAGAGAAAGAGAGAGAGAGAACAAAAAAAAAAAAAACGATCTCAAGGTGGACAGCACTGGTCCAACTAGACTGCAAGATGCCTCAAGACCAGCCCGCAACGGTCCCAAAGAAACCTCCTCAACTTGTCCCCGAAAGGACGAAACGCTATGGGGAAAGCACGACCAGATCCCTCGACCTGTTTTTCCAATGCCATTCGTCGAGCCAGATCGATCTGGGGAGAATTGCGGGAGCCCGAAACATACTAAACATCCGTCGCGAAGTTTGTCAAGAAGCCCAGATCCGATGGAACTCTGGTTGGTTCTGTCCCAAGCCGCTCCTCATCCTCGGCCATGGCCATGGCCATCCGCAGCACTGCGTCGTCGATGTCCTGCCGCGGCGAGATGGAACATGAGGCGGGAGAAGGCGAGGAGGGTCCTCCTGGAATTCCCCGGAAATCTCCGGAGCTCTCTGAAGGTTTCCGGAGGTCGCCAGAGGACACCCGACGTCCCCAGAAGCCTCCAGAGGCTTCTGGGGACAATGACAAAAAATCAAATAGTAAACTCGATCCCAGGAGCTCGAACTTCGGGATCAAGGATGAGGTGGATATGAGGACAAAGAGGGTGGCAATTGCCATCTGCACCGCGTCATCGGTCTCTTGCAACGTGCCCGCCAGCCCTGCCACTAGAACAGCCCCTCCCAGAGCTCCCCCGTGGACAAAAGAAACAAACGCCCGCCAAAGTCCCCCAAAGCCCCCTCTAACTGGAGGAGCCCACCCTGGGCATACACATGCACACACATAACACACAACACATAACCATTTCTCATTCCTCATACACTCTGCATTGCATACATTATCCTCATACCCCTCCTGCTCCCCCTGCTCCCCCTCTTCATTCTTTACCTCAACGCAAATCAACTCCACTCAGCACCGCGGGCCAAAGCGGGCGGACACGCACATCCTCAACCCTGGCCCTAAGATAAGGGGGTCGGGCAATGGAGAGTGTGCCCTGGCACGTGCTCTGTCCATGGGCACAGCTTCTAACGGGACCCAATGAACCCGGTGCTTGACGCGTCGCCTCGTATGCTATGAAAGACTTCACATGCATGAGACCGCCACGCGCGCGCGCGTGCAGGTATCCGCCCCCTCCAGGCAGCGGCGAGCACCCGCACGCAGGAATGCCCATCTCTGGTGGGAGCGTGGGCAAGACCGTCGCCCTCGGCGATCGACCGAGCGGTGAGGCCAGACAGATGCACAGAAGGCAAGAGAACAAAAAAAATCGGCCTGCCAGCAGGGGCCCCGCGGAAGTGAATAAACCCACAGTGGCCCCAGGGACCCACAGAAGCTATGGGGCACCTTGAGACCCACAAAGATCGACGAAGAATGTACCCAACGACTCCCCGAACAATGTTTGAACTTCGGGCTTTCTCGCTTCTGCTCTAAGGAACTGGGCAGTGTCTTCGGTCTGGCGGCTATGTGGCCGCCGTCACCGCCCCGTCGCCGCCACGTCGCCGCCCATCGTCTGGGCTAGACCTGCGGTCTGGAGACTATGTGGCCGCCGTTGCCGCCCCTTCGCAGCCTCGTCGCCGCCCATCCCGTCGCCGCCTAGAATGCACAACGGATATTGCACCACATGGCTTGCACAACATAGACTGCACCGTACTGGTTGCACAACAGCTATTGTGCAACATCGATTGCACCACTTCGATTGCACCAGATAGACTGCACCAGAAAATTGCACCACATAGGTTGCACCACAAATATTGCACGACATAGTGTCCAACATAGAGTGCACCACATAAATTGCACGACGTAGATTGTTTCATACGAATTGCAGTACATATATTGCACCACGTAAATTGCACAACCTATACTGCACCAGGTATATTGCACCACATCGGCTGCACCGCACGGATTGCACCACATGTATTGCACAACACACGTTGCACCAAACAGATTGCACAACATAGAGTGCATAACATATATTGCACCACCTACATTGGACAGCATATACTGCACCACGTTGAAAAAGCACCATGTAAGCAGGTTGTACGACAAACATGCACCACATGCACTGCGCAACCAACATCTGCACGACATCCATTGTACATAACCGTTTGCACAACATATATTGAGCAAGCATGAACTACATCACATAGTGTGCTTCACATGTACTGCACAACACACACTGTACCGCATATATTGACCAGGATCGACCACACCTCATAGATTGCATAACCTATATATATACCACGACATATGTTGTACTCAACCGATTCCACAACATAGAGTGCACAGCAGAAGGTATCTAGACTCCCCCAATGAGGGGTAACTCATTATTTTTCGGCGGCCTGATTCACGGACTGGGGTCCCGCCAAAATGGGGTACCTAAACATTGGTTCCCACGGAACCAGCCGCGCAACAACAACGACGACGACAGCTACGACTACGATTGCGACTACGACCCGACGACTACCACTACGTCTGCCACAGGAGCGCTCTCACGGAAAACCCCACCTCAGAAATTTGTGGATTGAAACTCTTTCCTCAGAAGCTCCATCCTCAGAACGACTGTTGCAGTTCAGGCCACACGAGGGCCCTCAAAAACTCCATCCTCAGAAATTCAATCCTCAGAAAGATTGTGAACAGCACCTTCGGCGAATACTGTGCTGATATCACTTGCAATCCTCTTACAAGCGAGCTCCAACTCCTGTCGCGCAGGGTGGCCCAAGGGGCATGCTTCCCTGAGAGAAAGAAGCCCCACCATTATCCAGCCCGCCATACAATAGAGGGAAAACAATCTCCGCCGCGACGACGACGAGCACGACGCTTACGGCTTCGACAAAGATTACAATTACGATTACGACTGCAACCACGACGACGACTACGACTACAATCACGACTATAATCACGGATACAACCACGAAAGTAACCACGACTACAACCACTACAGCAACCACCATCACTGATTCCTACTAGAGACTCATGAGAAGATGCTCACACATCCTCTCGCGTGCAGGGCAGCCCACAGTGGAAATCCAGACCGCCGAATAATAGAATGAAGAATGCCAGCCACGACAACGATAACGACGACGCTGCCAGCCAAAACCACTACAACTGTAGCAGTAGAAACAGCAGCAGCACCACCACCAGTAGCAGTAGTAGCAGTAGTCGTTGTCACAGTCGTAGTCGGAGTCGTAGCCGTACTCGTCGTCGTAGTCGTAGTCGCAGTCGTAGTCGCAGCCGTCGTAATAGTAGTAGTACTAGAAGAAGAAAGTGCAGTAGCAGTAGAAGTAGTAATAGTAGTCGTACTAGTAGCAATAACAGTAGTCGTGGCAGTAGTAGTAGTAGTAGTAGCAGCAGCAGCAGTAGTAGTAGTAGCAGCAGCAGCAGGAGTAGTAGTAGTAGTAGTAGTAGTAGTAGTAGTAGTAGTAGTAGTAGTAGTAGCGTTACAAGCAATGGAAGTAGTAGCAGTAGTAGTAGTAGTAGTAGCAGCAGCAGTAGTAGTAGTAGTGGTGGTAGTATCCGTAGTAGTAATAACAATAAAAGTAGTGACAGTAGAGCGGGTATACTGGTAATAATGATGATAATAATACCAGTAATAGTCACAATAGTAGTAAAAGTGATAGTAGTAATACTAATAGTAGTAATACGGATAGTAATAGTAATAATAATAATAGTAGTCGTGGTAGGAGTCGAACGAGTAATGATGATGATAATAATAATCGTCGCTGCCGTCGTGATAGTAGTCGTAATCTAAATAATCGCAGTGATGATAGTAGTAGTAGTACTGGGGATGCCTACAAAATTATCCCAGTGCGACCCTACCTAGGAGTTGGAACCCCTAGGAAAGCAGCATTAGTAGTAACAGTAACGCTAAGCTGAAGCTAAGCTGAAGCTAAGCTAAAGCTAATCCACAGCTAAGCTAAAGTTAAGCTAAAGCTAAGCTAAAGCTAAGCTAAAGATAAGCTAAAGCTAAGCTAAAGCTAAGCTAAAGCTAAGCTAAAGCTGAGCAGCAGCTAAGCTAAAGCTAAGCTACAGCTAAGCTAAAGCTAAGCTAAAGCTAAGCTAAAGCTAAGCTAAAGCTAAGCTAAAGCTAAGCTACAGCTAAGCTCAAGCTAAGCTAAAGCTAAGCTAAAGCTAAGCTAAAGCTAAGCAAAAGCTAAGCGAAACGCTAAGCTAAAGCTAAGCTACAGCTAAGCTAAAGCTAAGCTAAAGCTAAGCTAAAGCTAAGCTAAAGCTAAAGCTAAAGCTAAAGCTAAAGCTAAAGCTAAAGCTCCCAGGGGACTGGGGGGAACCGCGGGGCGGGGACTGGGGGAACCGCCCGGGGCGCTTTGCACTGCCCGGCCCATTTAAGCTAAGAGAGTAAGAACCCTTCTAGGCAGAGCCAAGGTAGGGACAAATCCCTACTGGGAATTCCCTACCAAGGCTTCCTTACCGGGGATGCCTACAAGTAATTCCCTACTGGGAAATCCCTACAAAGGATTCCTTACTGTGGGTGTCTCGACTTCGCGGGGTGCCTCGACTTCGCTTGACCAGCGCAGCGCTTCGTGACCCCATACATAGAAGGCCCCGAAAGGGCATTCAATTATCCCAGTGCGACCCTACCTAGGAGTTGGAGCTCCTAGGAAAGCAGCATTAGTAGTAACAGTAAGGCTAAGCTAAAGCTAAGCTAAAGCTAAGCTAAAGCTAAGCGAAAGCTAAGCGAAAGCTAAGCTAAAGCTAAGCTAAAGCTAAGCTAAAGCTAAGCTAAAGCTAAGCTAAAGCTAAACTAAAGCTAAGCTAAAGCTAAGCTAAGCTAAAGCTAAGCTAACGCTAAGCTAACGACAAGCCAAAGCTAAGCTAAAGTTTAAGCTAAAGCTTGAGGTAAAGCTAAGCAAAAGCTAAGCTAAAGCTAAGCTAAAGCTAAGCTAAAGCTAAGCTAAAGCTAAGCTAAAGCTAAGCTACAGCCGAGCTCAAGCTAAGCTAAAGTTTAAGCTAAAGCTAAAGCTAAGCTAAAGCTAAGCTAAAGCTAAGCTACAGCTAAGCTAAAGCTAAGCTAAAGCTAAGCTAAAGCTCAAGCTCAGCTAAAGCTAAAGCTCCCAGGGGACTGGGGGGAACCGCGGGGCGGGGACTGGGGGAACCGCCCGGGGCGCTTTCCACTGCCCGGCCCCTTTAAGCTACAGAGTAAGAACCCTTCTAGGCAGAGCCTCGGTAGGGAACAACAACAATGACAAAAACAATCACAACAACAACAACTACAACAACAGCATCAGCAGCAACAGCAAGAACAACAACGACGACAAACAGTTTTAGACTGCTCGTTCTTAACTACTCGCACGCCATGCACCACGTATGTTCCAAACCCTCGGTACCCGCCCTTTTCGTCTTCGATCGTACTCCCTCGGGGG